AAGGGTTCGGGGCGAGGGGGGCTGGGGCCAGGGCCAGGTGAGGAGGCTGGGTCCGGGGCCAGGTGCCGTGCCGAGATAAAGGTGTCGGGGCGGAGAGGGCGCGTTGGCTGGTGGGGCCGGCGCCGTGCCAAAGTCAAGCTGTCGGGGCGGAGGGGGTGCGCTGGCTGGTGGGACCGGCGCCGAGGGGGCGCTGTGGCTGGCGGGCTGGCTGCGCTGGCTGGCGGGGGAAGGATGCGGAGGGCCGGGGGGCTGCTTCGGCATGGCTGCTTCAGAAAGTTGATGCGGAGGGGACGCGATGTGAGGCGCGGGCCGAGGGGCTGCATCGACCGGTGCCGTGCCGAAATAAAGTCGTCGGAGCTCTTAGACACCCGTGCTCGGAGCGGAGGGGGCACGGGGCGGAGGTCCCACTGGGGCGCTGGGGGCGCGGAGAGGAAGGTGGGGGAGGTGGTGTGCGTCGCGACGCGGAATGAAGTGGTCGGGGCGGTTAAGAGCTCAGAGGCACGGCGTTGTCTTTTCCTTGGGTTTGGTTTCCACTGGGGATGTTGTCTTTTTTGGTGGGCGGTTTTTGTGTGGTTTTTTGCGCAGGGGGGCGCGGGGTGGGGAAGGGTGGAGGCTGCTTTTTGTGGCGCGTGTCGCCCCCCCCCGATTATGATGGAATAAAAGATTGTTCGTGTTGGGCAAATGGGCCACGGGGCTTTGGGCGTTCCAATGTCGGGCGCTAGGGGCGCGGGGGGGAGGGGGGGAGGTGGTGTGCGTCGCGACGCGGAATAAAATGCTCGGGGCGGAGGGGGCACGGGGCGGAGATCCCACTGGGACGCTGGGGACGCGGGGGGGCTCGGGGCAGAGGGCCACGGGGCGGGGGTTCCACTAGGGCTCTGGGGACGCGGGCCGGGGGGGGGAGGTGGTGTGCGTCGCGACGCGGAACGAAGTTGTCGGGGCGGCGGGAGCAGTGGGCGGGGCTCGGTCCGACTGGGGCGCTGGGGACGCGGCTGTGGGCGGGGCTCCTACTTGGGCGCTGGGGACGCGGGGGGGCTCGGGGTGACTGGGCTGGGCTCCAGCCGGGGCGCTGGGGACGCGGGGGGGAGGGGGGGGAGGTGGTGTGCGTCGCGACGCGGAACAAAATGGTCGGGGCGGAGGGGGCATTGGGCGGGGCTTGGGGCAGAGGGCCACGGGGCGGGGGTCCAACTGGGGCGCTGGGGACTGGTGGGGGGGGGAGGTGGTGTGCGTCGCGACGCGGAATAAAATTGTCGGGGCGGAGGGGGCACGGGGCGGAGCCCCCACTGGGGCGCTGGGGACGCGGGGAGGGAGGTGGGGGAGGTGGTGTGCGTCGCGACGCGGAATAAAACGTTCGTGGCGGAGGGGGCAGTGGGCGGGGCTCCCGCTGGGCCGCTGGCGACGCGGGGGGGCTCGGGGCAGAGAGCCACGGCGCGGGGGTCCCAATCTGGCGCTGGGGACGCGGGGGGAGGGGGGGTGTGGTCCCTCTGCGGCTGGGGGACGTGGCGACGTGGGGGGGGACGGGCGGTAGGTGGGCGTGCGTCGCGACGCGGAATTACATTGTCGGGGTCGGGATGGGGGCGGTGGGCAGGGCTTCCACTGGGGCGCTGGGGACGCGGGGAGGAAGGTGGGGGAGGTGGTGTGCGTCGCGACGCGGAATGAAGCGTTCGTGGCGGAGGGGGCAATGGGCGGCGCTCCCATTGGGGCGCTGGGGACGCGGGGGGTTCGGGGCAGAGGGTCACGGGGCGGGGGTCCCACTGTGGCGCTGGGGGCGCGGGGGGAAGGGGTGGGGGAGGTGGCATGCGTCGCGACGCGGAATAAAGCAACTAGTTGACGGGGTGGAGAGGGCAATGGGCGGCGCTCCCATTGGGGCGCTGGGGACGCGGGGGGACAGGTGGGGGAGGTGGTGTGTGTCGTGACGCGGAATAAAGTGGTCGTGGCGGAGGGGGCAGTGGGCGGGGCCCCCACTTGGGGAGGGGAGGTGGTGATGTGGTGCGTGAGGAGAGGGAAGTGGGTGTGCGTCGCGACGCAGAATAAAATGGTCGGAGCTCTAGACACCCTGTGCAAGAGAATACTTTACAAAAGGATTATGGCCTCGGGGAAGCGAAGATGGTGCAGCTTAGTAAGGATTATGGCCTCGGGGACGCGAATATCAAGTAATTCTACGTGTCCCACGCCCCCTCAGGAATTCAGACATCGCGATTCGGGGACGCTGGCCAGGACGCTTTTCGGCTCCCCCCCTCGCGCGTTCAGCAACAATTAGCAGTAAGGAAGCAGAAAGCAGGACTGTAACAGTGGAAACTGGAAGTTGCGACTGGAATAGGAAGCTGCAATCCTCACCCTCGCAGCCTGGTGGCCCCGCAAGCGGGCCAGCGGATTCTTCGTCCCAGATCCGCCTGTAGGGGGACATGCCCGGTCTAAGACGAGCTCTCTAAAACACAGTGGACACAGTGCTTCTACGCCGCACGGCCTGGCGGCCAAAGCTGGCCGTTGTCCCGACGAGCCACCTTTGCAGGATCAGGGGGGTGAGAGGGGGAGTGAGGGAGGAGGGCGTGGTCGCAGAGTGTCTAACATGGTTGTGGGAGGGAAAGAGAGAGATAGAGAGAGAGAGAGAGAGAGAGAGAGAGAGAGAGAGAGAGAGAGAGAGAGAGAGAGAGAGAGAGAGAGAGAGAGAGAGAGAGAGAGAGAAATGAGCGAGAGCGAGAGAGAGAGAGAGAGAGAGAGAGAGAGAGAGAGAGAGAGAGAGAGAGAGAGAGAGAGAGACGAGAGAGAGAGAGAGAGAGAGAGAGAGAGAGAGAGAGAGAGAGAGAGAGAGAGAGAATAGAGAGAAAGAGCAGGAGCGAATCCGCATTGCACGAGAGCCAGAGAAAAGGAAACGAAGGAACATAGAGGTAGCGATACAGGACTCGACATCAGGAGGACATGGCGACGGAGGAATAGGAGGAGGAAAACCAGCTGCGTGAGGCGGAGGAGCAGGAGCACGAGCAGGAGGCCGAGGAGGAAAAGGAGGAGGAGCAGCAGGAGCTGGAGGGGAACCCTGAGGTTGCCAGAAGCTGTTTTTTAGCGTTGCCGTTGAAAGAACGTTGAAAATAGCTCCAAACTTTAAAAATAGCTGCACCTTTAAAAAATAGCTCTATCTATCAAAAATAGCTCTGATAATGAAAAATAGCTCTAAGCTGGAAACACGTGATATTCTAAGGACAAACACACAGCCAACATAACACGTTACTAATATACAATATACTATGGAATTCACAACACAATTCAGGAACAACGATCCCGTTTGAGACTTCCTCATAATATACACACGAACCCTTGCTCCCACGCGAGACCTCGTCATAAGTTACTCAGACCAGACACTTTTGCGAGATGACCTCTCGATTTGCAAGTCCCCCTCCGGCCCCCCCATCTCACCACAGCCATTTTGGCCCCCCCACGGTCTCACCAGAAGCGGCCAGCTGGCCGCACTTCATGATGAAGCGGCCAGCTGCCGCACATACCGCGGCACCGCCGCAGAAACGACGAGTTGCCTTCGATCAGAGTATCGATGTGGTGCCTGTGCTCAGGGAGCACATCAAGTCCGCTGCGCTGCTGCCGTACCGCGAGGAGCTGAAGGGCGTGATGGACCTTGACAAGCTGAGGGCCAACAAGCAGCTCATCGGAAACCTCCCTGGGTGCATGCCGCAGACCTACCTCTACAAGCAGCTCGAAACATTCGCAACAGAAAAAGAAGATCAGTGGCACCTCGCGGGGGAACTTCCAGGATGGTGTGACAAGATGGCCAAGCGCATTCGCGCGATGAGGTCAGACGTTGGGCAGATGATTTCGAAAGCAAAGAAAGATCAGAAGAAGCCAGCTCAATGGTTGAAGACGTACATGGAGATAATTGCCGACTCCACGTTCAGTGATGCAGATGGCGAACCAGCTGAGCCAGACGAGGGAGGAGACGATGACGATGAGGTTCCTGCCGACGGTGACGGAGAGCAGGACGAGCCAGGAGATGAACCCGCGGACGCCGAGGGCGAGGACGCACCCAAGGAGGGCGACAATTCGAACTACACGTTCGAATGGGACGACGACATGAAGGCATCGCACCAATCGAACATTTTACAACTATCGATTCGTTGATTTCGGGTGCGGTGTTAGCTACGTGCCAACATTTGTTGTACAGTGACAACTCATGTTGCAGCACGTGTGTTCCTTACCCCCGCAGGCATGCTACCGCGCGAACCTGGAGTCTGGCAAGAAGGATCGATCAGGCCCACCGTATGCTCCTGATGGTGCGGGTGCTGAAGACCAGGCCGCAGTCAAGTGGAGCGACGGCATGGTGTGGTCAGTGCCGACCCTCTCTGTGCAGGACCTGCAGGGCGGAGCGAAAAGTTCGAACATATCACTACGAGTGGACGGCCCTGACGTTGGCGGCATCACGTACGTGCAGGAGCGCAAGAACAACGCTGACTTCGTGTTGCTGATCAGAGCTAGGGATGCTGGGGGAAAAGAGATACAGGTGACGTCGCTGATCTGGTCACACGCGGCCGAGACTGACCAGACGTACGTGCTCGACCAGATGCATGCCATTGCCAAGGACTACGCCGACGGCAAGCTCAACAAGGAGACAGCCACGCAGCGCAAGAAGGACCTCGACACGGAGATCACGCAGCGCAAGAAGGACGCGGCGCGGGCGGATGGCAACAGTGAGGGGCCAGCCAAACCAGCACTCAAACGACCCGCAGCTGCACGTGGTGCCACTGCTGCAGCAATGACCAAGATGATCGATGAGGGCCAGCAGATGCACGGTGAGGGTCAGCCACCAGCACAGCAGGAACGCTCGGGTTTCCGAAGAGGTGAAGGAGGAGGGGGAGGAGGAGGAGGAGGAGGAGGAGGAGGAGGAGGAGGAGGAGGAGGAGGAGTAGGAACAGGAGGAGGAGGAGGAGGAGGAGGAGGAGGAGGAGGAGGAGCGGGAAGAGGAGGGGGATCGAGGAGGAGGAGGAGGAGGAGAAGATGTGGGATGCATATTGCCTGTGTCACCGCCAGGACACAGCTGGTGACGCGCCTGCAGCCGCCGCGGCCGAGCGCCAGCAGGGCGGCGCCGCTGCCGCCGCGAGCGCCGCCGTGGCCTCCGGCGACGCCGCCGAGGAGACGGTCTCTACAATGCATCCCAACGCCGACATTCGCCTCGCAACATTCACGCACCACACGTCGTACTACTACTACTACTACTACTACTACTACTACTACTACTACTACGACTACTACTACTACTACTACTACTACTACTACTACTACTACTACTACTACTACTACTAATCGACGGGGACGCGTGGGGTGTGAAGGTTGGGGAGGCGGTGTCTGTCGACGTAACCGTCGCTCACAGTCGTATTCATGATGACGTGTTCGGATGTGTCGTTGATCGGGGATCCGCAGGTGCGTCACGTCTGATGTCAGGAACGGTGAGGTAGTGCACCCCGTTTTGCTCGTGATAACCCCGCAACAAACGAGGACCCCAGCGACAGCTTCGACATGCCGCCTCCCAGTGACGGCGTAGTGGCCCTCGGCGATATGTTGTCACGTCTCGTCCACAGCTAGCGCGGCAAAAACTTACCTGAAAACAGCCCCAGTAGGACAGTAGCGTTGCAAACACATCCTCGGGCGCCTTCAGAGAAGCCTCCTTACCAAACACATTCTATCAAGCCTGAGGTTGCAGCTGTAGCGTGGCAGTAGTTCAACAGTAGCCAAGGGGGTTTGGGAAGATGTGTCGAAGCAAATGTAGTTCCTTATGTGATGTCTCGCGGGAGCTGTGTTTGGTTCAAGGCATGCCAAGCAAGGGCTTTGAGAAGTTCGACGTGCTACCAGGCACAGTCGACTTTCGCAAAACACATCTGGGGAAACTTCTGATGAGCGGCCCGATGATGATCAGTTCATCCGACGAGGAGGTGCCCATGGAACCAGTGAACACTCCACCCTCCCATCGTGTTCGGTATAGATTTGAATGTGTGACCCTACCCTTAGTCCCTAAGTTCAGTTACATCTAGGAGCGTCGAGCTCTAGTCGCCAGGCGCTGTCGCAGCGTGGTGGTGGAGACCGCCGCGGCGAGGCAGCGGCGCAGGGCGCAGAGGCAGCGGCGCAGGGCGCAGAGGCAGCTGTGCAGGGCGCCGCAGATCACAAAGGTGAACTCGACGATGCTGACGCTGGTGGATCAGGTGGGGATGCAGTTCAAGTCGGAGACCAGCACCATGACGATGATGACGATGCGCCGATCATTCGCAAGCGGGGGCCGCCGCCAATAGATCATTCAGTTCAGCTGTCACCAGCGACCCGCATGCGCCAGGATCCGCTCCCCAACACGTGCGCGCAGCCGCCCTGCTGGATGTTCGACGAGACCGTGCCCTACGGCGCCAACCAGGCGCGCGATGAACCGCCATCGCCAGCAGAGACGCCGACAGCACCGCCTACGCCGACAGCACCGCCTACGCCGACACCGACGCCAATGGAGCCGAATGAGCCACAGCAAACATCGTCAGCAGCAGCCGCAGGGAGCGAGCAGCAGCCCAAGTTGACCAGCAAGTACTTGGAGGCCGTTGACTCGTTCCAGAAGGTCAGCACCGCGAAGAGCCCCGAGGACATCGAGTCGATGGTTGCGAGGATGGCCAGCCTGCTTGCTGAGAACGCTGATGAGGACCAGGCTGCATCCATTCTGAACATGCTCTCGAAGAACGGCTTCGTGAATGACGACGTCGAGGACAGCGCCACGAGACGATGGCGAAAGAAGAACTGATGAGGGGGAGGAGGAGGAGGAGGAGGAGGAGGAGGAGGCGGAGGCGGAGGAGGAGGAGGAGGAGGAGGAGGAGGAGGAGGAGGAGGAGGAGGAGGAGGAGGAGGAGGCCGGTGGGACGGCACCTTCCCAGCAGGACACCCTGTCCGTGGCATCGACTGCAGCTTCAGCTGGCGATGCGGAGCTGTCCCCTGCGCTCAAGCTGTTCAAGCAATGTGAGGCCGACGGCTGGTTCGTCCCGACTGACGGGAAGATCAGCCCGCTGGCGAGCAAGTGGCAGAGGCACGTTTGGGATGGTGAGGGGCAGGATTTGATGGATTTGCGATGGATTTGCGATGGATTTGCGATGGATTTGCGATGGATTTGCGATGGATTTGCGATGGATTTGCGATGGATTTGCAGTGGATTTGAAGTTGATTCGAAAATCATCGACACACGTCGGGCAACGATCGGTGTGTTGGTGGGTGTATCTACCCAGTGAGGCATCTGATCGACCACCCCGACCAGAAGGAGCTGTACGACAAGGTCCGCGGCAGGGCCGCCAAGGCTGACTTCAGGCCCCGCGTCGTCAGCTGTCGCAAACCAACGTTCCCTCCATCGGACGAGGAGGATGGAGAGGAGGAGGATGAGGAGGATGAGGAGGATGATGAGAGACAGGAGGGATGGGAGGGGAGGACGAGGACGAGGAGGGGGAGGATGGGGATGATGATGACGACGAGGATGAGGAGGGCGAGGAGGACGAGGAGGAGGAGGAGGAGGAGGAAGGAGGAGAAGGAGGAGGGAGATGAGGAGGAGGGTGAGGGAAAGGAGCATCAAACGCATCTGCTTCTCGCCTCCACAGGTCTGACTGGGCGCAGAAGGAGGCGGCCAAGCTGATGACGAAGGAGAAGATCTACAGTCGCACCGAGCAGAAGGTCGACTACAAGGGCTTCCGCTACAGGTCGCTCGGCCGCATATGCTGGTTGGAGGGCGGCGGCAAGCAGGGCCTCATCGACGCCACGAACGTGGCCGTGAAGTGCATGCAGCTTGGCGCGCCATTCGTGAAGGTCGATGCGTGGACTAAGTCCCTGAAGTTCGCACACTTCGAGGAGGGCAGCGACGAGGTCTTCAAGCAGGCCTGGGAGCAGCGCATCACGAAGACGATCGACACTGACGCAGCTGCGCCGCCAGCCGCGGCCGCCGCGGACATGCCGCCGCCCAAGCGGCCGCGGGTCGGCGCCGCCGCCGCAGTGGTGGGGGAGGACTGCGTCCTCCTACTTCAACAACTTCATCACTCCAACTCACTCCACATTCGTCATCATCATTCTTTTCCTCCCACTCTTCCTTTCCCGTCTACCCAGCCTACTCGATTCCATGAGCTGCCGATTTCGTGGGGGGATTTTCGTCGAGGGCCTCCAGGTCCAGGTCACGCTGCCAGCAACTTCGAACGATTTGTCGAGGTGCTCGGGGCTTCGACTGTATCATTCATCCTCCTCCTCCTCCTCCTCCTCCTGCTCCTCCTCCTCCTCCGCCTCCGCCTCCTCCTCCTCCTCCTACGTCTCCTCCTCCGTCTCCTTATCCGCCTCCTCCTCGGATTTTTACCGATGTTCACCTCCACGCTACAGGAGGCAGCTCCGGAGAGCAAGGCTGCCTCGGCGGCGGCGCCGCCGACCGCTTGGAGGACGGCGCCGCCAGCAGAGCCGACGGGCGCGGCGCCGCCAGCACAGGCGCCGACGGCGGCGGCGCCGCCAGCAGGGCCGCCGAGCGCGGCGGGCGCGGCGCCGCCAGCAGTGCCGAAGCCCAAGGGCGCGGCATCGGCGAGGGCGGCCGCCGCGAAGGGCAAGGCGAAGGCCGCCGCGGCGGCGGCTGCCGCGGGCGGGGATCACCCTGGCGGCAAGAAGACCAAGGCTGGCGGTTGTGCGTGAAGTTGCACAGACACAGATGAGATTCGACTTCATAGCAAACTCCGAAACCAGATCGACGTCGTCGACGTCGGCATGGTTATCAGAGTTTGCTGTCGCTGGGTCGAGCGAATCGGAGTCTGATCTCATCGGCCTCTTCGTAATCTCACGCACGACTGCCGCGCAGGCGGCGAAGTTCGAGAACGTGGCGGAGCTCTCTCGCAACACCATGGCCGCAGTGCAGATGCAGAGTAAGACGCTGCTGCAGGCGATCGAGACCGACCCAGCTTGGAAGTGGGCGAACAACAAAGACAACAAGGAGCCGCTGATGACCGCGCTCCAGAAGCTGGATGACATTTTGGCCGCTCGCGTGGACTTCCGCAACCTGATCGGCTTTGAGCCGCTCCCCGAGCGCAAGAAGGCTGTCGACAGGGCTGCGGACCCTGAGCAGTCGGCGCAGTTTGAGAAGCTGTGCTCGGAGTTCGTGGCGGCGGTGAACCCCGTGATCGAGGGCATGGCGAAGGCCAGCCGCGTGCTTTTGAGCAGGCACACTGCTGTGTAGTCGATATTTCTCAGGTGCGCGGTGCACAGCGATCCAACGTTAGAGTTACCCAGTCTATGCACTACCCCGCGCGAGTAGCACATGCACATGGGGATATACATAACATGTTTGGGACGCTGGCACTGCAAGCACCAGCTCGCACGTTCCGATTCCTCGCGGTCCAAACGGGCCACGTCTCGTGCGCAGCCAACCATGGCCAACACTCGAGAGGGATGCAAAACCTTGCACCCGTGAGTATTTTGTGGGAATGAATCGAAATTCTGTGAACCAACCGACCGTTTGGGGTTTTGTCGGACAGCCGAGTGTTTTTATGTAATGCCGATCGGTTTTTGGGGATGTGGTTGCATTTTCGAACCTCGGACCGAATTTCTCATGGGTTGCAGGTCCCGTGGCCGAAAAATCTGCGGTGGATTTGCGGTGGATTTGCGGTGGATTTGCGGTGGATTTGCGGTGGA